CAGCGCCGTGTAGTAGCTTCAATTGGATATTATGAGGCTACGAAACAAAAAAATGATGTTATTGTATTCGCGGCAATTGCTGGAGCCGTTGTCGCATTACAAGTGTTACCACCAAAGCTTAACCCTATTATTAGATCTATAATGAATTCAATTAAGTCAGAGGAAAACATAGAATTACAACAACGTTCGGCTGCTACATTGGCTAGCCTTGTTGACCTTTGTTCGTTAGAGGATAGCTCAGTCAGAGTAAACCCTAATGATAAGATTGTGAAAAATTTATGTACCTTTCTTTGTTCTGATTCGACTACCACTCCCGAGCTACAATCTAATCGTATGAAAGAAGGTATACTTTCATTGCAAAAGGCTAAAGAACCTGATAAGTCTTCGTTCAATGGCGATTCCCTTAATGATGAAGAGAAAGTAAAATCGCAAAAACTAATAAGGCGTGGTGCAGAAACTGCTTTAAGGCAATTTGCTACACAATTTGGGCCCCGGTTATTTAATGTTGTTCCAAAATTGTGGGTGTGTATGCATTCTTCGTTGAACATTGTATTTGATCATGGTGCGTAAAAAATTTTTTTTCTCCGTTTTATATAATATCCTCATTAGCATAACCTAATTGAATTTCAATTCATTTAAGACGAAAAAGAGAAAATAGATTCGACCCTTAAATCAAATGCTAGTTTGGGACAAGATGTTATAGACACATTACAGATATTGCAATCTTTGGTGCCTGTGATTCATGAATCCTTACATCCAAAGGTAATATATATGATAGAATTTCTTCGAACCAACATCCATTCATTTTTATTTAAATATGGATATACAGGTCACGGAACTCCTCCCTCATATAATAAAGGCCATTCAATGTCAATACTTGGTAATTCGATCCATGACCGCAAGATGTTTCGCCACAATTGCGAACGTTATCACGGTCCCTTGCATGCAAATAATCATCGATCAAGTTTTACCTTTACTCGGAGATTCACAGAATGTTATACATCGCCAAGGAGCCGCAGAATTAATATACCGTATCCACGTTCCATCAGTCTTTTTGAACCAAAGTTTTTTCTACTTTTGAAAAATTTCTCCTTAACCTTTTGATCAATTTCAGACGTTGTACAATCCATGGATGCAAAAATTCTTCCATATGTTATTTTCTTGATAGTTCCCATTTTGGGTCGTATGAGTGACGTGGATGAGCATGTCCGCTTGGTTAGCACAAATTGTTTTGCCATGTTGATCAAGCTGGTGCCATTGGAGGTGAAGTTTTTGACTTTTTTTTTAATAACAATTTAATTTTATTAGTAATTATAAAGTATAACATGACTTTTCAATGCTACAGGCTGGAATACCAGATCCTCCTGGTTTGTCTGAAGAATTGCTGAAGCATCGGGATGATGAACGGAAATTCCTTTCGCAACTTCTTGACAGTAATAAGCTTGATCAGTTCGAAATTCCAGTGACTATCAAAGCTGAGTTAAGAAAATATCAACAGGAGGGTGTTAATTGGCTCGCATTTCTTAACAAATACCAATTACATGGTATACTGTGTGACGGTAAGAAATTTAGTTATGATCTTTAATATAGAATTTTAAACATCATAACTTTTGAAACTTTACAGATATGGGTCTTGGCAAAACACTTCAATCCATTTGCATTCTTGCCAGTGATAATCATTTACGCGCTGTCAAATACAATGCGACAAAATCACCTGATAGTGTACATTGTCCATCTCTCGTAGTGTGTCCTCC